AACCCAACGTCTCCAAAACTGAGAGCTGTTGTTGCTAGCTGTTGTCGTCTGCAGTCTCTAAATCGGACCGGAACAACGAATACAATAGGCCCGCCAAAACTCCTCAACGAAACACATTCGCTTTCAGGGTATCACTTTTTTGCATTTCAAAGCGCGCTAATTATTTCTTTTTCTCCTCGGGTGGCCTGGAGATAGCAAAATACAAATAAGACGAGATCTGGGTACAGGCATATATTATTGTCAATCAAAATGGCGTCTACTCCGGCAGGCAGCGAAATAGATCCCGAAGAAGATGCCGGGGAAATGAGATTAGACGTGCACAACACCGGACAAGCTGCCGAATATCCAGACTTTGCAATAATCTGGTCGTTTCTGGTGAATTTTAAACACCTTTTACACTTTCCTGACCTAAGTTTGGACAATTTGGAGGACGGGTTTAACAACCATTCGCTGGAAAATGGTAATTGATGTCGATTTCTTCATTTAGTTGTAAATTTCAGGACTTGTTTCTGCAAAATCGGATGGGTTCTTTTTCTTCACTAGTACACGGTGAAACGTTTGACGGCTTTAATAGCCTTGTAGTTTTGTTTTTAGACTGTAAATGACAACGCCTTTTGCACGATCGCTTATTTTCGTGTGATACGGCGAAGCTTTTGTTAGACGCGCGAACAAAGCGCTTTTATTTCAAACAGCTGCAGAATTTCGCTGGAGTGTCAATTGTGACTTTTTTGACGATTTTAGCTCGGATGCCATTGTAGTTTCCAGATTTACTTGTAAACACTACGTTAATATTTTTGTCTTTACCTAAAAAAATACTTTTGCGTGCAACGTTTCGGAGTTCTCTATCGTTGTTATGCGGTAAACGCAATTCAGTGTCAAGCTTTATAATTATAGATGCTATGACTACATTGGAGTCCATGCTATTATGCATTTAGGGCGAGTTTGAATTTTTAATTTTGTGTTTGGCTTGTTTGGTTCCGATGCTGTTTCAACGATCTTGTGGAAATTTCGTCTTAACGTTATCTGAAACGATTATCCTGTCAGTCTCTGTTGAAATTCGATAAGTCCTAGTTAGAAAAATCCAGCACTTCTTCTCGACTCCCAAAGTAACCTTTCAGTTGTCTTTGATCTTCATTGCTATTCACACATTCAAATTTCCCTGTTTACATTGATAACAGACCTACCTTTCAATGTCAAAGTTAAGGTTTTAATATTCAGAAGAATTTCATTTTATGAGATATTCACTTCAATTCACGATTATAGTTATATCTTCAAGCACAAAGCGAGTGTAGTTTAATAGTTGGTTATCATGCTCCTAACTTAAACTTTGTTTTCACCTGCGAAAATTAAAGACAGAAGTCATCTTCTTTTGGGAGAAGTCTTTAAAACAATTGTCTTTCAATGAGCTCCCAACTGAGGTGACTAAGTACCCCATGTCTCTCCCCTCTTTTCCCAGTGGGGCAGGGGGGGAGGGGAGAGGCTGAGACTTGTCAAAAACAGCTGCAAAAGAGGCCAGGAGTTTAAAAGGCTTGCTTGGAGTGAAAATTTTATGATCCCAACACCTGTTTCTAAGTTTCTGTTATCTAGATATGTGTTTGTGACTTGCCTGTAATTTCTTCTTAATTTCACAAAATTATTGTTTCTGTTCTAAGATTGTGACAGATATTTGATGACAAAAAAACTATAGATTCCAAAACTGAACAAAATTCCCTCATATTTTTCATTCTTGTTCTTTATTAAATTTAAAGAAGGTAAGACTTTGAAGGTGAATTGTAAGGGTTTTGATTACCAAGTAAGCTTCCTAAACTTTTTTTGAGTTAAAGCCAGTGTTAGCCCATTCACTCTCCAGATAGCANTTTGCCTTCCTGTTTTGTTCATCTTTGTAACACTGTGATGTAGATGTGACTAACATATGATTTTTCCTGAAAATATCAACCTTGAATCACACATGAAAGTCATGAAAGTTAAGGAAATGATTGCCAACTAACGAAGCTCTTAATTGTTAAACAAATTCTCCTTGTCAGCATCTTATAAAATGTGTAGAGAACAGTATGGAGAATATGTGTAATGATATCAGGAGGTATTTAAAGGGTTGAGAGTGAAGATGCAGCTCGCCTTTTCACCTCTGAATCTTCAAACATTTTGAACTAATATCATAAGAATTGTATCTTAGCAAGGCTGTGCTCAAAGAAAAATTGAAGGGAGCCCAGTGCTCTGAAACTGTGAAATCTAGGGTGCTCAGTTTTTTTTTTTTTTTTATAAAAAAACGAAGATTTCTGAGTCATCCAAGAGCCAGGGGCCACTGGGCACTGTTAGAGAACAGCCTTGGTTAGACCGTAAGGAGAATTACCAATGAGTTCACTTGGGAAAGAAAAAGTTAAACAAAACAGAAATTGAACTTGTTTGAATTCATTCTAACCTGAAATCTTCTTAAACTACAGCACCTCTGTATCTTTTATTTTATCTTGATTATACAAGTCGTACATGTATACAATTTTTTATTTCAACAGGTAATGTTGAGATGCTAGAAGACTTATTTGTAAAGCTTTTGAGACGATTAGGGATCTCTGTAAATCCAGAAAAATGGGAGAAATCTTTACTAAAGGTTTGTTTTTTAAAAAAATACTTTAGAATATCAATTCTTTTATATACCTTTTACAAGTTGATAATGGGTTCTTGGCCTACTCTAAAAATGATGCTATGTACTTACATTTCAATAGTGAATACATCTGTGTGGTTAGGGTCTAATGTTTCAGTGCATTTTTGTAAAACAAAATTTAATATTCTGGATTTTGCTAAGCATAATTCAGGAATATCAAAATACATTGTTGTAAGGGCATTTGTAAAACATGCTTTAAGAATTTCCTTAGAAGATGTGTTTTTACTGGAGGACATCTTAGGTACCTCCTCAAGCCCCATAGTTGATGTGTAAATTCTCCTAACTGGTCTTTAAGCAATTTCTTAGAGCAGAGACTGTGAGAATTTGTCAAAGAACAGGAAAATTTCCTTCATTTGTCAATTATGTGATTCTAATTGTATTTAATTGCACTAATGTGCAGATAATTTTTTTGTAACGAGAAATTTGATTCTGATTTTTTCTATGCTTCTAGTCCATAACTGGTGTGCAAGTCCATGGTCTGACCTTTTATTCCATAGTCCATGGTACATCCCGACAACTTTCTCTTTTCTACATCTCTGTTATATACATCTTATTAACCAAGCGCGAGGGCCGTACTG